ACCATGTAGAGGAAGAGGATGAAGAAGGAAGTAGTCTCTCTGTTGGACAGATGAGGAAACAGGCACAAGGTGCTGAAGGGCCTCTCGGAGGTCACATTGATCTGGGGTCTGGGTCCCTGGCAGTGTCCCCAGGACCTGTGTCCATAACCTTGTGACTCTGAAGCCAGGTTCCTTAAGTCCTCGGGCAAGTTACTCCACCGTCAATGTCTCAGTTTACTTGTCTATAAAATGGGAGCAACAATAGCACCCTCCACCCCCACAGGGTTAATGTGTGTGGTACATAGTGAGCACTCCGTACATGCTAGCTATTTTTTTTATTACTGTTGTTATGCCAAAAAGAGTCCCCAGAAGGATTGCTTTCAAAGTGAAAGGTGGCCCTGACCCAGCTCTTTCCTATATGTTTAACAACATGGTTCACTTTATAGAAGTTTCCAGTGCCACATCCAGCATCCATGAGTGATCGGATTGTTTCTCAAGTAAAAATGGGGCCAAGAAATTCATCAAGAATCTAACAGCAGGCAGATTCCAAGCCTAGTACATTGTCCCCAAAACGGCTTTCAGGAGGAAATGAACAGATCAGGAATGAAAGAGACAATAAATAAACTAAGCTTTAAGTTCCTTAGGAAAGAGGAGGAAAATCTGCTCAAAGACAAACAAAAGGAAGTAAAATAATGTGAAAAAGAAAGAAAGGCACAACAAAAAAAAACACCCCAAATTAGAAACAGAAGTTTTGGGCTGTGCACTCTGTGGCTTCTCTGGCTCAGATCACAGCGCTGGGATGGGGAGTGGGCACATGCTCAGACACCAGCCAGGCCTGTCCCTGGAAGCCCCCTCACTCTGCGCCCTATGTCTCCAGCTGGCATGCTGTCATCGTGGATGGACACAGTGTGGAGGAGCTGTGTAAGGCCTTTGGGCAGGCCAAGCACCAGCCGACAGCCATCATTGCCAAGACCTTCAAGGGTCGAGGAATTACGGGTACGTAGGCACAACCCCCATCTCCACCCCAGGACCCTGCCCTGTGGCTGACTGGGCAGGTGGGAACTACTAGCTGGGAACCTTGTGTCTGGGGAAGTGCCAGCCCTTGTCAACAGTAGAGTGCACTGGGCTCCAGGAAGGACAGCAGGAGATGCTGTATTCCCTGAGTTCACTGGTTCAGGATTTGAACTTGGGTCAGTCTGGCCTCTGCTGGGGGGGCATGTACAGGCAGGAAGAGAGACGAGGAATGACTTGGAGGGCCTGTGGGAAAGACAAGATGCTGAGTGAAACAGCTCTACCCACCCGCCCTGGCTGGCACTCTGCGGAGCTCCAGCCCCATGTGCTTTGCCAGTTGCAGCTGTCTGCCCTGAGCTGAAGGGCCAACACAGCCCCAGCAGAGCCTAGAAAGACCCAGGTTCTCCCCAAGGAGGTAAGGGAGTACTCCATGCCATGGAGAGGTTTTTAGCAGAGGCCTGTGTGGCATGAGAACCTAGAGAAGTGGCTTCAGTGCCAGGCCTGAGGGTGATATAGGCATAAGACACTCCCCTGGCACTTAGTTGTGGGCTCCAGACTCCTGGGCCTAGGATGGCCCTTGCCCATTTTAAAGATGGGAAAATGGGGCTAGAAGTGGTCAGGGACTTGCCCTGGGACAGAGGAAGTCTGTAGCACTGGGGGCCCTGATTCCAGACTCTGAGTCAGTTCTTTGCCAACTGTCCCTGGCTGCCCACCTACCTACCCAGAAGTTATGGTTCCCTCTGCTTGGGTATATGAGTACACTGAGAGATATTGCGGGTGCTAAGAGCCTTCTGGGTGGGGATGGATCCTGAGAAGAGGACTCTGGGATATCATCGTGGCTGCAGAACAGCTGCCTGGCACCTACAGTGCTATTACTGAGCAGAACCTAGAAGCCATAGCTTCAAGGGGCTTCTGGTAGTCTGGGGCTGCTTGGTGCTACCTGGAGGGGCCAGTCTGTCCTTGACTCTGCCCAGGCTTCAGTGATATCTGAGGTGATTTCAGAGGGGAGTGATAGTAAACCTTGCTGGTAGGCACACCTGGTGCTTACAGACCCCACTCTGCTGCTCATAGATGCATCAGGGTACTTGCTAGTACTTCCCCTTAATGGGCCTCAGCTTCCCCTTCTGATGGCCAGTGTCCCTCCCAGTGAACAAACTGAGTCTGCCATTTCTACAGTATACCCCTCTCTGTGCAACCCTGCAGTGGGGAGAGAAGGGAAGAGACACAGCAGTGAAGAGGATGGAGTGGTGTACCAGAAATATACATCTGCTGGCATATTTTTCTTTTCTACTGGGTTGGGGGACCAGGCAGTATTCACTGAGTGCTGGGCATGCAGGAGTCCTGTCTGCAACAACCCTCCTTCCCTGACCCCCGTGGTGCTCAGCTGGGCTCTGCCTGTCTGTGATGACACCATGCCTCTCCTCACTCCTTGGGGCAACCTCTCAGCCCTCTGGGAGCACTTGTCTTACCTGTCCCTCTGCCTTCTGTGTTGTACCTGCAGGGGTAGAAGATAAAGAGTCTTGGCATGGAAAGCCCCTCCCCAAAAACATGGCTGAACAGACCATCCAGGAGATCTACAGCTTGATCCAAAGCAAAAAGAAGATCTTGGCGACACCCCCTCAGGAGGATGCCCCCTCGGTGGACATCGCCAATATCCGCATGCCCACCCCACCCAGCTACAAAGTTGGGGACAAGGTACAAAGTATGGGGCCTGCTTCTCTGGGATGGGGCAGCCATCATTCTCTGGCTCCCCTGGGCCGAAGCCTAGATGTGCCCTCCAGAGGGCTGGGAGAGGCGAGGGGTTCATTTAGGGCGGGTGTAAACCTCGAGGTGGTGTTCCCATCAGTTCCCTCATGGGGAGAGCTAGCTCTGGAATTATTTACCTGCAGATGCTCAGAGAGGGCAAGGATCTTGACCACAGTCGCACAGAAAGCTACTGGCTGAACTGGGATTAAAGTCCAGGACTCCCAAGTCTATGCATCTCTAGTTTATGTAGGCCCCTTGGCCTGAGCTCAGTACGCCCATGTGGCCTGGCACTGACTAGCCAGGGCTGTCCTGCTCCAGACCCCCCTCCAAGTGATCCATTCCACCTAGACAGCCTGCACCAGACTGTCTGACTGCTAGGCCCTCTATTCCCATTCAAAGTGGAATGGGTTCACAGACCTGTGTAGTGGGTGGGGAGCTGGGGGTTGGTAGCATGTCTTTTGTAGCTCATACATCTCACAGCTGGACTGGGGGCAAGGGCTCCACGGGCTCTTGGGACAGTCACCACAGTTGCTGGCAACTGTACAGGACTTAAAAGTTTCCACAGGTCTTTGTGCTATTGGCCTTCCGTTTTCTGTTTCTATTTTTATCCTTCTAAAAGCTGTGGCCCCAGAGGCAGGTAGGCTCCAGGCCACAGCCATGCCCACACCTTCAGCGAGATTCAGAGCCTTTCCACTTGTCCTGCAGATAGCCACCCGTAAGGCCTACGGGCAGGCCCTGGCCAAGCTGGGCCATGCCAGCGACCGCGTCATTGCCCTGGATGGGGACACCAAGAATTCCACCTTCTCGGAGCTCTTCAAAAAGGAACACCCAGACCGCTTCATCGAGTGCTACATTGCTGAGCAGAACATGGTGGGTGTCAGGGTGGGCTGGCAGGCACAAGTGCAGCCACAGCTGCAGGGGTGAGTTTGAGGGGAACAGGGCAGGACCGAAGCCCTTCTGCTCTTCGGCCAGCCGCATCAGCAGTGCCAGTTGCTTGCTGTGGGCCAGTCTAGAAAGACCACAGAACAGCCTGGACCCAGCATTAACCCTTGACCCTGAGTAGCCATGGTTTGGGGTTGAGCGGCTATGCCCAGGTGTAAATGTACTAGATGAGTTTGCAAATGAGAGTGCTGCACGAGGCTGCAGGTGCATGCAGGAGGAGCTGCACGGAGGCCTGGCATGGGAGGAATGAAATCTCTGGGGGCAAAGGGCAGGCACAGCCAAGAGACTTGATAGTGATGTTTTTCCAGTCAAGGTCTGCTGAGCCCCTGTTATACGCATGGCTCCAGGCCCCACCACCCTGAAGGATGCAGAGATGAGGGAGCTCTGTGCCCTGACATGCCAGAGTTGGGGAAGCAGCCCCTTTCAGGAACTAAGGTGGAGAAATAAAGAATGATGTTTTGTCCTGTTTTTCAAAATGTCCCCTCCTTGTGGCCTGGGAGCCCAGCCTGGCTTGCAGACTCCTAGGAACAGGGAGCTTCCTCCCTATGGAAACCATGAACATCACCAAAGGTCTTCCACCAACTTACCCTAAAGTTGTCTCTGTGGTTTCTAGAGACTACACCTGCAGGGTGTGGGGGCTGGGGAAGCCCCAAGTGCCAGGGAAAGAGGGCTTATGTCAGCTGGCAGATTTCGGAGCCTTGCGGGAGACAGCTAGTTTGGCACCAGTGACTGCAGTCGGTGCTTCTGGGTAAGGGATTTGGGGCTTAGAGCCTCAGCAGGCATGACAGTACTGCCTGGGACCCAGGGAGTACTTGGGAGGGCTGTTCTCTGCAGAGAAAAGTGGCAGGGTAGGAGGCATTTAGAAGCCCAGGAGGGATGGACCACCTATGAGCAAACTTTAGCCTTTTGTGAAAGGGTTTACTTGTTACTAAAAAAAAATGTTACAGAGGAAAAGAATGTAAAGGGAACTTTTGAAATGACTTTCAAGTGGAAGGAATTTGGTGTTTAGAAACAAGCTGCAGTTTGTAGGTGCACAGAAAACACCTGCACGGGAGGAAAAGTAATAGATTCAAGGATTACAGAGTCCTCCACCCTCTAAGAGGTGGCCTTGAGAGGGATCCTAGGCTCTCTGGCCACCCCCTGCCCTTCCCTCTGGGGCTGACCTTGCATTGCCTGGCCCCAGGTGAGCATTGCCGTGGGCTGCGCCACGCGCAATAGGACGGTGCCCTTCTGCAGCACGTTCGCGGCTTTCTACACACGGGCTTTTGATCAGATTCGCATGGCGGCCATCTCCGAGAGCAACATCAACCTCTGCGGCTCCCACTGCGGCGTGTCCATTGGTGAGTTTAGCCAGGATCTTTACATCTGAACCACCCTTGACTTTGGACCACGGGTTTGAGAGGGGTTGGGCTAGGATTCCAGCCTATGGACAGGGATCATATTTCACTGTGTTCTTCCTCACACTCCAGGGGAAGATGGGCCCTCTCAGATGGCCCTGGAGGATCTGGCCATGTTTCGGTCTGTTCCCATGTGCACTGTCTTTTACCCAAGTGATGGAATTGCTACAGAGAAGGCGGTGGAACTAGCAGCCAATACAAAGGTCAGTCCTGTGGCTGTTCTTTCTCCTGCTGGCAGCTCTTCCCTTGAGGGACAGAAGAGAGGCCAGAGCTGGTCACTTGCTGTCCCAGCGGGGGTTTCCTGATCATGCCCCTGGTATTTGGTGTTTGTATGACTTGGAGAAGTGTAGACCAGGAGAAATACACCTCTTTCTGCCACATGGCAGGCACTGCCAATTGATGGCCACATTCATTCACTGAGAATCCTGGCAGCCTTGGCCAGTCTGGCAATTGATACCTATTTACCCTTCCTGCGTTGGGTTCTCCAAGATAGGGAAGAATGAGCTGAGCCACAGAGTTCTTACCAGGAGTCCCGGGGGCTCCTGTTCCTCTGCCCAGAGGACTCTGAGGGAGGGGCCCACCTGGAGGCCAGTATTCTGGTAGAATGTTGCCTTCTGTTGGGGGATGCAGAGGGCAAGCAAGTCCTTTCCTACTAGAGTTGCCGGGAGTCAGTGACCAACAGAGACACCTCGCGGGGTCGGCAGGGTGGCAGAGGTGTGCTCATGGGCAGGGCTGGCCTCTCTAGAAAGCCTCTGCTTTCGGAGGATGAATGTGCTGCATTCCACGTCCCTCAGTTTATCCATTTTGATTCCAGGGCATCTGCTTCATCCGGACCAGCCGTCCAGAAAATGCCATCATCTATAACAACAATGAGGATTTCCAGGTCGGGCAAGCCAAGGTCAGTGCATGCCGCAGCCAGACCCCATAGACCAACCCAACCCTCCCTTTGGCAATGCCCAGCCACTGGGGCCCACCCCGATCCCCAAGTCCTCAGCCTCACTGGTCCCCCTGTGTCACCCCCAGGTGGTCTTGAAAAGCAAGGATGACCAGGTGACTGTGATCGGGGCCGGGGTAACCCTGCATGAAGCTTTGGCTGCTGCTGAGCTGCTGAAGAAAGGTGAGGAGAAGGGGCTGCAAAACTGATCAAGTACCAACTGCATACTAGGTCTTGGAGTTGAGAAAGAATTTCACCTAACTAAATGATAGTAGCAATTATCTTTTATTTATTATTATTTTTTCTATTAAAATTTGTTTTTGTAGAGACAAAGTCTCACTGTGTTGCCTGGGCTGGTCTCAAACTCCTGGCCACAAGCAATCCTCCCACCTTGGATTCCCAAAGTGCTGGAATTATGGGCATAAGCCAGTGCACCCAGCAATAATAGCAATTAAAGCTAACTCTTTGAGCACTGACTCTCTCCAGCATGATGCTAAGTCCTGGGGCTTCAGTGACCACAGCCCCTGCCCCGTGGCCCTAGGGTCGATGTCCCAGCATGGTGGTCAGATCAGAGGCCTTGGAGTCTGCTGAATCACTCAGCCAGGCACTAATTTTTTTTCAATGTTTTTTGTTCTTTTCTCAGAGATCCTTGTTCTTACAGGCACTAATTAAGTAAGTTTTCCGCCATCATTGTGCCTCAGTTTCTCCATCTGTAAAGTGGAGATATTGCCTTACCCATAGGCTGCCCTGAGTAATGAATAAATGTGACTTCGCATTTTTATTATTACCCTGAACTTGCAGTGTTAGCTAGTGTTATTGTAGGGGAGACAGTCGTTGGCATCCCCTGCAATAGAATCACACAACAGATGTCACATTTTAGCTGTGCTGAAACCACCAAGGAGAGGGCAGGCATGGCTTCAGGGAAATGACCCCAGAGGGCGTGGGAATTGATAAGCAGAGAAGGGAGTGAAAGGAGGTCAGCGCAGAGAAGGGCGGGAGCAAAGTGGGGCAGAAGAGGCCAAGGAATCCCAGCTCAGCCTGGGGGAGCCCAGAGGTGGGCTCTAAGCAGGACACGGCAGGCTTGGGTCTGTCCTCCTGAGAACGTTGTTCTGCTGGGTCCTCACCGGGTCCTCTGACACTCTCCCACCAGCCACAGCTCTTCTACTCTCCTATCACCCCTTGCCTCATCTCAGCCTTTCCTCAGGCTTCCCCTTTGTCTCCATGGTAACATCATAGGAGGATGGGGGAAGGCAGCTCAGGTGTTCCTGGACAATCGGCAGCCACATGGCAGCTGAGATCCCTGTCCCTGGAGTCAGGAAAGTGAGGTGGCAAGCATGAATGCAGCAGTGGGAACAGGGGGCAACTGGTTCCCCTAGGATAGGGACAGGCCTGCAGGCTGAGTTCTTAGCTATGTGACAACCCCCAGGACACTTCCCCCCAGGGCCCAGTCCTCCCCTCAGCCACGCCCCTGTATCTTTTTCCCTCACAGAAAAGATCAGCATCCGAGTACTGGACCTGTTCACCATCAAGCCCCTAGACAGAAAGCTCATTCTTGACAGTGCTCGTGCCACCAAGGGCAGGATCCTTACGGTGGAGGACCACTATAAAGAAGGTAATGGAGGGCTAGAGCAGGGAGGCCAGGGAGGCTGGGAAAGGAGCAGGGGCCAGAGAGCCTGAGAACTGGACTCACCTCCTCCATCCAAGCCCCAGGAGGGCAGCTGTGGCCCAGAAAACCTAGAGCTGTACCTCTGAGCAGCTGGGACTCGGCCTCTTAATAGGCCCAGGCTTTCCATGGGGACCCAGCTGACTCTCAGCTGCTGAGAGTGGAAAGGTGGACTGTGTCCCTGAGGTGGGTTAAGGCTAAAGCTATTGTGCAGAATCAAGCTTGGAAAATGCCAAAGTGAACCCGGGGGAAGGAATGGGCTTAGGCTCTGGGGTCATGTGGAGATGGTAGTCTTTGGATGATGGCTGCCCAGAGGGTGGTGCTTAAAAAGCCGTATTTGGGCTTCTAAAAGTCATCAATACTGTGACGAGCGACATCTGGTGGCATACACACAACTTTTGCCATCCTCCGCAAAGGGAAAAAATTCAGGATGGCAAAGGGCTGTGCCCGCCCACTGCTCACCCTACGGCCTCATCTGACTTCCCTCCTTTCCTTTCCAGGTGGCATAGGCGAGGCAGTGTCCGCTGCAGTCGTGGGTGAGCCTGGCGTCACTGTCACCCGCCTTGCTGTTAACAATGTACCAAGAAGCGGGAAGCCAGCCGAGCTGCTGAAGATGTTTGGTATTGACAAGGATGCCATTGTACAAGCTGTGAAGGGCCTGGTCAGCAAGGCCTAGGGAAGCCCAGGGAGCAAGGGGTGGGGGTCCTACACATTCCTGAGAGAATCTGGCAAAGGTGCTTAAAGATGTACTGAGAAGAAGAGGTGAATATATGTTTTGAGAAAAATGAATTGGCTCTGAAGTGTTTTTGTCTTTGTGGATGCAGCCATTCCTGGTTCTGAGGAAGAAGAGTAGAGGGAGCAGTAGGGAGGTAATACCCTTGCCTCTGAGCCAAGACCTGCAAGTCCCAAGTTCCCTTAGAATCACCTCCCCTGGGCCTAGCATCTCCCCTCACCCAGAACTGCTGCTGCTTCCCAAGATCACCAGGTGACATTCAACTGCAACCTGCCTTCTAACCTGGGGAGTCACCTCAGTCTGGAAGCTACCCAGCTTCTCTCAGGACCATCAAGCCTCCCCCAAGGCTTCACAGCCTTGTAGTTAGGCTTCCTGGGGTTAGGGAGCTTCATTTACTCATGGTCCCCCCTCCTTCCCATAACCTCTTAACCAGTGATCTCAGAGAAGCAGAGAGAAACAGGATAGCCCCTTACCCTGGGAGGAAGGGGACCCCAGGTTGGCATCAGAGATGCTGCTGCTGGGAGAATAAACAGTAAGGTCCAGCTCACAGCCAGCACCGTAGACCAGAGGTCCTCCAGACCAAATGTGGAGCTGCCCCCTTGACTTGTTAGAATGCAGATTCCTGGGCTTTCCCCTGGGGCCTGGGACTCTGCATTTGATAGCACAGGAGCTTCTGATCTCACACTCAGAGCTGTGCACACCCAAGCTCCAGCCCCTCCCTACTCTGCTGCTCCCAGGTGGGTTTCTTCACTCTGGTGGCCACAGCCCATTCCTGCCCCTGCTATTTGGGCTCATCTGGGGCCCACCCTGCTTGTAAGGCCAACTGCACAGAACCCTGTACTGGCCAAGGGTGACTGAGCCACTAATGGGGTCCCTGGGAAATCCTTGGAGCCCTTGAGAAGAGTGACACATTTGTAGACATGTGCACTTGTCCACCTGAAAATCTAGACAGAATGACCTTGTGGTCTGCAAACTGCTGCCTACTCAGCTACTCAGTCAGTGCCGGGGGGCTTTGTGCTGGCACTTCACTCAACATCAGTTTGAGGGAGCAGGGATGGGGTCACACCATTGGGTCTCAGGGAGGTGGCCTGGACTGCCATGGTCTGTTGCCTCTGGGCCAGGGCTTCCCAGCCTCCTGGCATTAGGTGGAGGCCACACCAGCACTAGAAGGCTGGGTCAGGTTGGGTAGCCAGGGTCAGGGCAAGCACTTGGAGGAGGGAAGAAAGTGGGCAGGCCCTCTCTCCTTGCCTGGGACAGGTAGAGGGAGAGGGGGATGGTTCTCAGCCTGGAGTTCTGGATCTTGTCTAACTTCATGTCTTTTTGTGTAAAATTCAAAATATAGCCGGGCTCGGTGGCTCAGCCTGTAATCCCGCGCCTTTGGGAGGCTGAGGTGAGTGGATTGCCTG